GGGGGGAGGAGGGGGAGGCTGGGTTACCAGATTAGAACTATGCTGGAGGAGGTGGGGGAGGAGGACAGAAGGTGGCGGAGGACGAGGAGGAGGGATGACAGAAAATCGGCCAATGATCCCCAGCGCGAAGCGGGAGCGGCTAGCAGCAGCCCGACCACATCCTTGAAGGTGGGTAGTTGCTGCCCATTCTCCCCTGCCCTCCTCAGACAAGGCGTCGAAAAGAAACAGGGTGAGAAACTGGGCACTTGGATCGCGAGCGGAAATGGCATGTCCCAAAACGACCTGCCAGGCTGTTGTCCCATAGCTGCCTAGCCATCTATCTCTGCATGCCACGCATATGTCTGCTATGCGATGCAAATACACGTGTACATATATGGCCTGCCAATAGATAGGTTTGCACTCGAGTCACTGGATGTGCAGTCGCACAGGAAATATGATGGGCAATCAGGACGCGGCAACGCACGGTGTAGGGAGACATCGAAGAGGGATAGTGGTGCCTGCGCAACGGCTCCACCATCGTTTCCTGACAGGGTGGCGGCAGGACAAGACAAACCGGGACGGGCTATACGAAGTAAAAGATAGTACATCTGCACCAAAGGAAGTCATCCCATACCGTGCCCAAATACCACAGTCTGCGCGCGTTCCCAGGCAAATATCACGAGTTAGAGCGCAGCACTGACATGCTCCAACCATGTTGGCGTGCGCGAGAAGCTGCTCCCGTCAGGGCGCCCCCCTCCCAGTTCGTGGTCACCCTGGGCGCCCTTCTCATGGCACGACAGCCTCGGCATAAATCGAGTCGTGTCGTGGTCGAGTCGAAAGCAAGGCCCCTCCTCTCTGATCTCCTCCCCGCCAAAGAGGGGGAGGCCCGATGGGTCTCAAGAAACCACGCTTCCCGAACACGACCCGAGAGGGCCCCGGGAGGCCGCCAGGACGGCTCCCCAGAGGCCTCCCAGACAGCGGCACGCGGCCCGAAGGGGCACACGCGACGGCCCAGGAGCTGCCCACGCGGAGCTCACAACGGGCCCCCGCCTGCCACCGCGAGATGCACGGTTTCCCCCGGGGCCGAAGGCGACCCGAGGAGGAGCAGGAGGAGGAGGAGGAGGAGGAGGAGGAGGAAAAGGAGGAGATGGAGGAGGAGGAGGAGGAGGAGGAGGAGGAGGAAGAGGATGGGTCGCCTAAGCACTTCCGAGAAACCCTCCACCGCGAGACAGAGAGACGGAAGCACTCCCCATGTCAGGCTCATCCCTGCAGAGTCAGCGCCTCATCTATGCACAGAAAGGGCCTGGCTGCCGCTCCGCGGCTGCCCGGCTCCCTCGGCCCCCCATGGGACCACTCGGGGCGCCCAGCGCTTCCTCTGGGCGCTTGCCCCTCCCCCCCCTCGGTTCCCCTCGGAGCCCCTCGGCTCCTCGCGAATCGCCGTGGTACGCGGTGCGCTGCTGTGCTGTGCCAGGCTCCGCCACACTGTGCTGCGCTGCTGTGCTGCGCTGTGCTGACCCAGGCTGCGCCGTGGCAGGATCCGCTGTCCTGACGATGCGCCGCATCTCGCCGTGGTGCGCTGTGCCGTGCCGCGGTACGGCAAAACACCCCATACGCCCGATAGCCTGACTTCGCCCAGCACCCGAGCTCTCTTCTCGGCACAATGATGGCACTGCTCACAAGAGTTCGGCCAGATTTCCGGTTCTGGGGCAGGTGCCACGCCGTGGGCGCCTCGTGAGCGCCCCCGTGCGCCGGCTGGGGTGTGCGGGTGCTCGGCCGGTGCCTGGCCCAGGGCGCCTCGTGGGCGCCCCCTGCGCTGGCTGGGATTTCCAGGCATCGCACAGCTTGCACCGTACAGCTTGGACCACATGCCTTACACGGCATAGCTTGCACCGCACATCTCTTGCACTGTCAGTTCGCGCCACATAGATTGCATCATACAGCTTCCGCCCCATAGTTTGCACCACAAAGTTTGCACCACATAGCTTGTACCGCATAGCTCGCATCACGTAGCTTGCGTCACTTTGCTTGCATCACCTGGCTTGCACCACACAGTTGGTGCCATAATGTTTTTTACCACCTGGCTCGCATCGCATACCATGCACCACATAGCTTGCACATGCCTCGCTGCGCGGGCCGTGCTGGGCGGCACGGAAGGCCTAATTCACCCCGCACCCTGCTTGAGGGAGGCCCCCCAGCCGGCATGGAGGCCATGGCGGTGGTCGACGTGGACCGGCACAGCGCTTTCCCGTCCATCGAGCGGATCAGCATCCGAGATGCCTTCCAGGAGCTGCTGCCGGAAGCGGCGGCGTTGACCAGGTGGCGCCAAGCTGCGCCAGGGCGGGTTGTCCTGCCGTCTGGTGGAGTGCTGCGCGCAACCGCGGAACGGAACAAGGAAACCCTCTTGGCCCATCTATTGCGCGCTCGTCCTCGCAAGCGTCGCGGCATCCGTTCGGGAAGGACAGAATGCAACAGGGATCGACAATCATTCGTCGCCCTGAGCATGTCGACGCCGTGCTTCGGACCCTCGATGCAGCCGACGCCCGTGTGGGCGCAGCGACAGCCCGGGGTGCAGATGCAACGAGCGTCGCACACGTCGTCGGGCCGCCTGATGCCGTGGCTGCGTGCAGTGGCTGGACCACGGATTATGCGCTGGCCGCTGGCCAGCAGTGTGCGACCCACCGCGCCGGGAGCACGTGCTCGGGGTCGACTCGGCGAAACGCACACCCCATCCGCCGAGGTTCACGGGGCCACCGAGGCTGTGTCTGTGCTCCACGGGGCGCTCGCGCAGGTGGAGGACACCGCGTCGGAGTGGATCCTGCTCCGCACGTGTGCCGACATGGGCAAGATGGTCCACTCATTGCGGGCCTCGGGCCCCTCCCTCGACCTGGCCGCGCTTGGCGAGTACGACTCCATGTTGCGGCGGTCGTTGGTGCGATGCCTCGGCGGAGAGCTGGACGACCTGTCCGCGGCACAGTGTGCCGAGGGCGGGCTCGGGATGCGGCGAGCCGCAGCCTCGGCGCTCCCAGCCGTCGTGGCATCCTGGGCCAGATCCCGGTGGCTGGTGGGCTTGTTCGTGCGAGGTCTCTTAAGCCGGCGTCGGGCCCGAAAGCATGTTCGCCGCTAACGGCGCGGGCACCGTGGACGCACAGTCGGCATTCGAGGCGTCGCCTCGGGCGGCTGCAGCGCTGCGCGCCCAGGACCTCGTGCAGCCGGCGGCTGGGGCGCGCGGCGCATCTGACGCGGCGCTCGCAGGCACGAGGCGCCCGCGCGAGTTTGCCATGACTGGGGACGACCCGGCGCTGCCCGCAGGAGCCGAAGACGCCGAGCTCGAGACCGCCAGCTTGCAGGCGGCGTGGTGCGCCATCCAGGATGACTCTGCAAGCCCGCGCTGCAAGAACACCGCCGGCGCCTCCTGGAACTGTGCAACGCCTCCGCATCGCCCGAGCGGCTGTGGCGGGCCTCGCGTGCACATAGACACGTGGTGCCCAGGAGCGACCTCCAGATGGTGGTCATGCTCCGGGTGGGGGCACTCTGCACTGGCTCAGTCGCGCTCTGCGCTCTGCGCCTGGCGCGGAGTCTCGCTCGGGGCAACTGGACGCCGTCTGCTGCACGGTGCCGGAAGCCACGCGGGGGCAGCACTACGACGTCTGGGACGAGGTGCTCTGGCTGGGGCACATGGCAGAACCCCCACGCCGCGACCAAAGTCGCTGGGCTCATTCCATCCGCTCCAACGCCCCGCCCCGCGGACATCCTGGCCTCGGAGGCCCTCCCGAGCTGCTTGGCGGCGTTGGACATTGGGATCACGAGCCCCGACGCAGCCGGCGCGGATGCAAACTGCTGCGACGCGATGTACGGCCAGAAGCAGGGGGACTACCGCGAGTACGAGGCCGGGCCGCGGGCACAGGACCTCACTCGCCGAGCCCGTTGTCTGGTCAGCGTGGGGCCGCGAGCACCCAGAGACCAGCGTGATGCTGCCCGCGATGGCGGCGCGTGGCTAGGCGCTGCGAGGCCACCAGTTACTCCTCGGGAGGGCCCAGGGCGCCATTCGCGTCCGGCTTGTGCGATGAGCCGTCCAGATGTGGAACGTGTGCGCGCTGCGCCTCGCGGAGGACGAGGACGCGCCGTCTTCGGCGACTGCTGTGATGCCAGCGCCTGACATTTGACTACCTACCAGACCACCCCAACCCAACCCGAAGACCCGAATCCCACCAGCCCTCTGGGCGTAGGTGGTCTAGAGCAGATCCTCTTCCACCCCTCCCTCTTCCCCCTTGGGGAGGGGTTTACCCCTCCCCCTACCCCCTCCCCTGGACCTGGACGGGGGGGGCCGCGGGTAGTTAGAGCGTCCCAGATGGCCAAGACGGCTCCAAGAGCGCCTCAGAGAACCCAAGATGGGATGGAGGGGGTGGTGGGGGGGTGTCCCAAGATGGCTCAAGATAGCGCAAGATCGCTCACGATGGCTCCTAAGATGGTTCAAGAAGCCCAAAGACGGCCCCAAGATAACTCCAAGTGGCCAAACAGCTCCCCAAGGAGGCCCCGAAGAGGCCAAAATCGTCCCAAAACCTAAGGAAAATCAATGATTTTTGCTTTCTCGCCTTTTCGCTTCCGATGGCCATCCGAGGCCTGGAGATGGATCCAAGATGGCCCAAGAGGGCCCCAAGAGAGCCCCAAAAGAGCCCCAAGACGGCCCCAAGAGCGCCCAAGAGCACTCCAAGAGCGTTCCAAGAGGGGTCCAAGAGGCGATTTGAGGGGCTTCCGAGGGGGGACGCTAATTAAACCCCCCCTCTTGTTTGATCGACTCCCTCCAAGATGGCCCCAAAAGCGCCCCGAAGGCTCCCCAGAGCGCCTCAAGAGGGTCCCAAGAGGCGCCCAAGATTCCCCAAGGCGCCCAAAAAGCCCTCCAAGAGGCCCTCAAAAGACCCCCAAGAAGCTCCTTCCCCTCCTCCTCCTCCTCCTCCGATTCTTCCTCCTTCTCCGTCCTCCTTCTCCTCCTCCTCCTCCTCCTCTTCCCCCTCCTCCTCCTCCGACGACGACGACGACGACGACGACGACGACGACTCCTCTTCCATCCTCCCCCTCTCGGGGTCTGTGACAGCTTCCCCCGCCCTTTGTTATTCTGCATGCTCCCCGACTTCCCTGATCACCTCAACTCCCCTGAGCATCGTTTCTGGATGGGCTGGTGGGGATACGCGAAGCGTCAACAATTTCGGGTTGGGGGGGGTACGGGTTCCATATGTGTTTTCTCGGTGTTCCACGACCCCCCCCCACACTGGAAATCGAGGATAAGTTGGGGCCTTCGGGTTGGGTTGGGGTGGTTTGGTGGGTGGTGAACATTGCCATGCCACAGAAGCAGACGCTCAACCGGCATACGCAGGGCCGCACGAGGCGATGGGCGACCAGCTGGAGCAGGGCAGCCGCGGGCCGGAGCCGCCCGAGCGGGGCAGCCTGGAGCCGACGGAGCGCCGCAGCCCGGCGGGGGCGGACAACGCCGGCCCCGAGCGTGCCCTGCCTGCCCAGCTGCTGCCGTCGCCGATCGGCCTGCGGAAGGCCGCGGGGGCCGCGCTCAGGCTGGGTCGCAGCCCTACGCCTGGTCTGCCGGCTTGGTCCGCCGGGTGGGCGCCGAGGAGGAGCCGAGCTGCTGGCGAGGGAACAACATGCACCACACCCAAGGTACACCTTGCAGCCTACACAGCAGCTTGCACCGTATACCTTACACCACATAGTTTGCACCACATGGCGGGCGGCACCTAGCACGCAGCATACAGATCCCATCCTGAGTGCAGGGAAGTCACAGCTTGGGGCCCCCGCTGGCCAACATTCTCTAAGTGAACCAAAAATATCCTAATTGTCTTCGCACCCAGGCTCATTGAATGTCTACGCCTTCACATGCTTCTCGGCAAAAAAATCAGGAGGGCACTCGAAGGCCCCTTCCCCTTCTACTGCCTCCCCTTCCGCCTTCAGCGTGAGTGGTCTCTTCTCTGGGGTCGGCGGAATCGGCCTCAAGGTCTTTGCAATGCAGGCCTGAAACTCTGGCATATCGCGGCATGCAAGAGGAAGAAAAAGGGGGATGGGTGAATGCAATCTGGGACATCCCAACGTGTCGCGATGCACAAATCGCTGCATCCATCATGCACGCACTCTGGCAAATGCTACGAGCACACATACGAGGCAGATGTGACGCTTAACACTGTGACGACCAATGAGGACGTGCCACGCGACTGCTGCCGATGTCTGCGCACTCACTAAGAGAAGGCTTCCTGTGGACTTCGCCAAGAGCGAGTACGCTAACAGAGGAAACAGGATCCCAATGAAGAACGATAAAGGGGCATTGCCATGGGACTAGCAATGCTGAGTGCCATGCATTGGGCCAAATATTATCACGGCATCGGGTATGAGAGGCATGGCAACTGCGCTAGAATCAGAGCACATGCGAGAGGACATCCGAAAGGACGGGAAACCCTTGCGAAGGGCATCGGGGCGAACATAGTAAGAGGACATTGAGGGACCCAGGTGAAGATCTTGTTGTGTCAGGACCAGTATGAACTATTGCGTGAGTATTACTAAGTATGTGATGGGTGATGAGTTGCTTGTCCAGTGCCATGTGTTTGGATGGCAAGGAGCAGAGCAGATGGGACGAAGCGAACAACCGATGATCGTCCCGCATGTACGAAAAATCAGGCATGGGGGGAGCCGAATGCAAAAATGCTCAAAAAAACGCAACGGCGCAACAGGGGTAGCCGAAGGGAGGGGGCCGTAGTATCTATGTTGTGGAAGCTGTCGAGTTGTGCATTCGTTTCAATTTTCAGGGAGATCCCTGTGGGGCGCGCTCCGTGTGAAAGAGGTGCGCCGAAAGAGGCGGACGGGCGCGGCGTCCCCGCTGACACTGCATTTGGGCCCGTCCGCAGGGCACGCTGTGCGCGAGGAGCGTGCCGACATTGGCGGGTGGCGCACGCGGCGCCTCTGTTGTGTACCGGCACAACCGCCCCGCTATATGGCCCGCCCGCCCGACCCGCCCGACACGCCCGGTATGGTCCGACCGCCCGACCCGCCCACTGAGGTCTGCCCGGCCCGTCAGGCAGGGTGGTGGGTCCGCCCAGCCCGCCCGTTGAGGATCCGCCCGCTCGCTTGGTTGAAGCCCCTCCTCCTGGCGTCCATGTCCCGCCCGCCAAACCCGCCAGTTGGAGTCCACCCGGCCCACCCGCCCGAACCGTCCGTTTGGGTCTGCCCGACCCGTCCGATCTGCCTCAGGGTCGTCTGACACTGCCCTGCCAGAGGGAGAAGAGGGATGGAAGAGGGGGAGGGGAGCAAGGAGGGGGAAGGAGGGAAGAACGAGGCAGGAGGGAGGAAATGCAGGGAAGGAGGAGGGGGAGAACGATGAGGAGGAGGAGGAGGAAGAGGAGGAGGAGGAGGAGGAGGAGGCTCAAAAGGCAGCGGGGAGGAGGGAGCAGAGCGAAGGAGCAGGAAGGAGGGGCAGGAGGGGGAGGAGGGAAGAGGTGTGGGAGGACGGAGGAGGGAAGGAGGAGGGAGAGGTGAGGAGAGAGAAGAGATGAAGAAGGGAGAGTCAGGGAGGGGAACGGAGGACAGAGGAGGCAACAGGGTGATAATGGAGAGGGAGAAGAAAGGGGGGAGCAAGAACAGAGAGGAGGAGACCTCGCGGTGAAAGAGAGACCGAGAGGAATCTCTGGAGGAGACAGGCGCAGGTCCCCACTACACCAGAGCCGAGTGCAATAAAACTTTCGCGGAAGAGAAGAAGGAGGAAGAGGAGGAGCTGCACTACTTCTGCAGGGAGCAGGATATCTCATTAGGCGATCTCTGCACGCTGTGGGCAGAACATCTCGGCAAGCACTCCCTGCAGAGCCTGCTGCCCATTCCGAACCCGCCACCTTGCTCTCCACGGGCGACACGCCAGTCTGCGACGGATCGGCCATGAGCGGCGCAGCCCAGCGCCACCAGGCAGCGACTGCTGGTGGACGCGAGCCCACAGCATTGGCGGCGAAGCGAGTCGTACCCCGTGCCGCCTCTGGCTGCCGACACGCGGGGAACACGAAATTGCACAAACAAAACTTTCGGAGGTCCGCGCGGACTTCTCGGATCGGCGCCGGAGCCCCCAGGCGGCGCCTCCGCGCGCCAAAGGAGGAGGGTCCAGGCGCCGAGCCAGGAGAAACCTGCGCGGGCCTCCGAGAGTTGATGCTCCTGTTTTTTCGGCTCCCCGACGACCAGCGGGGGTGGCGGCTCCTACCTCCGACCGAGGACGTGCCCGGCGGCACCCGCTGGCGACGGCCGCAGCAGCGCAGGCGGCAGCGTCACCTGCGCCCCGCGCCCGAGCCCCAGCGCGGCAAAGGTGCCGGCGGCGACCTCCACGGCGAAGCGCGCGGGGGCCCCGCTGCGGACCACGGAGGCCTCCAGGCGCTCGCTGTACAGCTCCTCGGGCTCCAGGGGCCCGCGCGGGGGCAGGGCACGCATCGTCCGCACGTCCACGGCACGCCCCGCGTCGTCGAGGAACGCGATGTCGAGGTCCAGGAGGGCGTCCTTCATCCAGAAGGCGCGGAAGTCGCTGTCCGGGAAGGCGAACAGCATGCCCTCGTCTGCTGCCAGCTTCTGGACGCCGCCGAGCCCTCGTTCCATCTCGGCACCCGATGCCGCGAACTTGAGCCGCAGCGTGCGGTCACCGACTCGCGCCTGCACCTCACCTCGGGGGGGGGGAGGGGGGGGGAAAAAGGACACGCTGAATCCCCGACGGCCATGCCCAACGACAAGTCCTTCACGTGCTTCTTCACATGAGCAAGTACGCACGGTTATCCAACAGACTCGACCGAAGTGTTCAGCCAGCCTTCAAAAAAAGAAAGCTCGCGGCCGCGGCCCGCGGGCCGTCACCAAACGGTGCTAAGGTGGTGTAATTGATGCGTGCGTTCGGCTCTACACTACTCGGATCTGCTCTCGTCGACTCTACTCTACTCTGCTCGGTTCTACTCGATCCGACTCTGCTGTACTCTACTTGAACCTCCTGCACTCCATTATACCCCGACTCTACTCGACCCGACTCGGTTCTACTCGACTCGACTCTACTGTACTCTGCGTGACCCTCCTGCACTCCGTTATCGATGCAGCTCTACTCTACTCGCACGCATGCGCAACCTGCATGCGCAACCCGAAATCGAAGCCTGCATGCGCAACCCCTTTGCGCAACCCGCACGCGCAACCCCCGTGCGAGACAAGAGAATTCGGCACGGGCAACTGTGCTTATTTTTTTTTCGGTGGGGGGGCGCTCTTCGGTCCTCCTCCCAGGGCCTCTGGGAGAACTCCGCGCAAGTCGACGCGCCAAATGCGCGCCAACCGCGAGCTGCGCCAAACGCGCAGCCGAAGGGCACGAAGCACGAAGGCGCATGAAGATAGATAGACCCAGCGTCACGGTCGTCGGTGCTGATGCTGACATAGGTTCAACAAGCAGCCAGCCCAAGCAGCTTGAATTTAGGCCCCATGGATCGCAAATGGACAACGTGGCCTCCAGGAGCCACCCTCATCAAAGAAAAACGCGACTGGGACGTGTGGTCATCCCACAAGCCGTCTATCTGACATGAAGGTTTTGCCATAGACACCAAATCCCACTTTCCAGGCTCGCTTGCATCAATCCACACAATGGCGGATCCAATATCTTTATAAGTGCCAAGGAACTCAAATTGCAACCATCCGCCATGCGTCGTTATCGCGAATTCAATGTCTGCCAGACCGGTTGCAATCCAACCAGGCTTGCCAGGTACATCTTCTTCGAACTTCCATGTTGTGTTCGACGCAGGCGCAAATGCGTCTTCGCCATACCTTGCGTGATAGTATGTTGTGGGTTTCGACAAGCATTGCAATGCTTCTGAACGAGGTGCCAGTTGTGGATGGTCCAACCCTTCGGGGCCACCATGCGCACAGACGCTGTCCATTTTGTTCAGAAAGGCTCCGAGCACCGTTCTTGCTACAAGGTCATGCGTAGCATCACCAGGGTGCACCAACTGAAATGGATCTCCAGTGTGCATGCCACCGAACCACCACTCCCGAGGTGATGCTGATTTTGAGCTGCAAATTGCTGACATGAAACACACAGTCGGGATAGCCAGCTTTTCCAGAACGTCCCAGTGATTATAATATGCCCGCGCACTGAAGTTGCTGCATTCTGGAAGTTGGGAGTAAAGGTTGTTGAAAGTCTCAACAGCAATCACTGCTGGACGATTCTCCAAGTCGATCAGTAGAGCCATCAAGTCAGTAAAACTCTCTCGGACGTCATTGTTTCTCCGCTTGCCTACTGCTTTTTCGTTGTCATTGACCGCATAATCAACAAGCACCAAATGAGAGTTGTCCAACCCTTTTTGTCTCAGATCTTGAATGTTGCGGGCCGCCCACTTTGAAGTTGTTGCAGGATGGGCTAAATTAAGAACTGTCACATTGTAGCCAAGTGACTGTAAGAAATGTTCTAACACCTTTGGCCATGGCGCGTGTGCGCCGTGCCCGTGAGTCATCGAGCCGCCAAGGACGCCAATGACGAGTTGATCTCCACGAATGAGGCGATCGACAGCCAACTGAAATCGTTTGTCAGCGCCATGATGCCCTCCTGGTGCCGACGCCGCTTTGATGCTCTCATGAACCAGAGGGAATACTTTGCCGTCCCAAATCGGCGAAAGGGGGATGCGTTCGGAAAATAATTGCGATGTGAAGTCACACTCCGGTTTCATAGCCCGCTTCCCGCTCTCCGCGGGCGCTGCTCCCTCGCCACAAATTAAATTGTTGTTGAGAATCGGATTGCGGAAACGGCCATTGGTCATGCACAAACCTTCTGCAAAACCACAAAAAAAACATAATGACAACGCAACTTTCGTGGACATCGTGCGCGCGGTGAAGGATTTGGCGGTGGGCATGGGTAATCAGCGTGGGTTGGCGGAATGGTGGCCCTTTCACCAAGGAATTGAGCCCGGACTTGATCTTAAATGGCTACGGAGGGGGCAAATGTGCTTCTTGGGGGGCGGCACAGTGGGGACGACTCTCAGGATGAAAATAAGAACTTTATAGGCGCGGCGAGACATTTGGAAAATAGTGGCTCGCATCCTGAGCAGTATTACCTACCACATGCCCCGAGCTTCTGGCAGCCAACCGTGCCGCGCTGTCTCACCACAGCGTCATCTGATGCTGAGCGCTGCCATTCGCTACTATATAAAATACCCACGTCCCATGTATCACGCAGTGCTCTCAAAGCTCTTCCTTTCGTGATTTACCTAAATAGTACACATCGCTTCACAAGACTGTATCCCATATCTTGAACTGGGATGTTCGACATCTTGCCTCGTTCGCGATTCACGTGTTGTCTCATACATTTCATCACTGGTTGGTTTGCACATTGCTCCACAGTTCACTTCTCAAAATGAATTCAGCGCGTGTGCATCGCACATGCGCATTATGGTGAATTTCGTGAAACGTGCTCGGAATTGTGTCGTCGAGTCGCATGCTTTGTTATTCCCAGCTTCTATCACATCGTGTCTCCAATGTGGCATTGTTTCCTGCTCAATAAAATCAACAACGTCTTGATCCGCATCGTCTTCCACACAGTGCTTCCAATCCGCTGACCATGTCGGTTTGTGTGAAAGGGAGTTCACGGTCCGTCTTTCCTGGGTGTTCCTCAGAGACGATCTTTCACTCGATTTGCTCTTCCATGCCTGGAGACTCTCCCGAGATCCCCTTTGGCAGGCCAAACTCGTCAACTCGAGGTGAATCGAGTCGGGTCGTAATCGAAGTCGTAAGCGAATCGAAGGGAAGCCCCTTCCATTTGATCCCTTCCACACGCAGGGGGCGGGGGGGTCCTGCGGGGAGGGGGGCCCGGGTGGGGTCTCAGGTCAGAATACGGTTCCCCCCCTTCCCGCTTCGGGCCGCCCTCGAGCAGGTTTGGCCCTCCTTCTGCAAATCAGGTCCAAAATACTCCCAGAGGGGCCCAAGAGGGCCCAGAGTCGCGGAAAGATTGCCCCAAGACGCCCAAGATGGCCTCCAGACGGCTCAAGACTTTTCCGAGACGCCCTAACAGGCCTCCAAGAGCACGTTGTTGTTTTACAACCGTTCGCGTTTTTACCTTTTCTGCCTCCCGACGCTCCAGGGCTGCCCAAGAGGCCCCAAGGATAGACCCAAGAGGGCCTACGAGGCCGTCAAGATGGCGCCGAGACTGCCCAAAAGCCCTCCAAGACGGCCACATGGGGCCTCCAAGACGGCCCAAGACAGCCCCGGGAAAGCCCAGAGAGGGGCCCCAGAAGGCGAACACGAACGGACACTTCGAGCTTACCGCCCCAAAAATCTCTTGGGAGGCCCAAGGGGCTCCTAAGAAGCCCCCGGGCCCTCGAGAGGCCCCCAGGAAGCCCCAACACGCTCCCAACAGGCTCCCAAGAGACTCCCGAGCGGCCTGCAGACTGCCGCCAGAAGCCCCCGACTGCCCTCCGAAGAGATCCCAAGAAGCATCCGTGAGGATTCTGACCCACTACCCAGGCACGGTGACGGGATGGTCCGCAGATCACTAGATCCGCCGCCCCCTTTTGATTTATCAAAGGGGTGCCTGGCGTGCCGAACGATATGCTTTTGGTTTTGGTTCTTTTTCCAAAAGAACTCCCCCTGGGGCTTCGGCCCGTCCCGCCGGCCACCCGGAAAACCCACCTGTCGTCGCATCTGTTGCCCCAAGATGGCCCAAGATGGCCTCCAAGACGACCAAAATGTCCCAGGATGGCCTCCAAGTTGCTCCAAGACGGCCAAGATGGCCTCAAAGACGGCTAAGATGACTCCAAGATGCACCCAAGACGGCCCAAGATGGCCTCAAGGTAGTCTCAGACGGTCCAAAAGGCCCGCAAGAGGCCTCCAAGACGGCCCAAGAGGTCTCCAAGAGGTCCTCCAAGAAGGCCCGACGAGGCCAAAATCATTGATGTGCCGTAGGTTTTTGCAGGATTTTGGCATTTGCGCCTCTTCGGCTTCCGACGGCCCAAGACGGCCCAAGAGGCTCCCAAGATCGCCAAAGAGACCCCCAAGAGAGCCCCATGACGGCCCAAGTGGCCTCCAAGACGGCCCCAAGAGGGCCCCAAGACGGCCCAAGAGGCCTCCAAGCCCAAGATGGCCTCCAAGACGCCCAAGATGGCCTCCAAGACGGCCCCGAAGCGCCCCAAAAGGGCCCCAAGTCGGCCAGGAAAGGCCCCCAAGACGGCTCCCGACGGCGTCAGACGTGCCAGGAACCCACCAAAATGGCCGAAGTTGGCTCGCTGGCCCAAGACAGCCCAAGAGGCCCCCAAGAGGGCTCCAGGAAGGCCAGAAGAGGCCAAAATCATTGATTTTCCTGTGGTTTTTGACGGATTTTGACATTTGCTTCTTTTCGGCCTTCCGACGGTCCGAGACGGCCCAAGAGCCCCCAAAGATCGCTGAAAGATCGCCCAAGAGGCCTCCAAGATGGCCCCAGAACGGCCCAAGAGGGCCCCAAGACGGCCTCAAGAGGCCCCTAAGAGGGCACAGGAGGCCTTGAAAACGCCCAAGATGGCCTCCAAGACAGCCCTGAAGCATTACAAGAAGGCCCCAAGTCGGCCCATAGAGGCCCCCCAAACGGCTTCCGACGGCGTCAGACGGGCTGGGAGCCCACCAAGATGGCCGAACATGGCCCTAAGATGGCCCAAGACGGCCCAAGAGGCCTCCAAGA